ACAAGCCGAAGCCCAAGCCACCGGTTTATGTTCCACCTGTTGTCAAGCCACTCCCACCTCCAGTTCCTGAATACAAGCCGAAGCCCAAGCCACCGGTTTATGTTCCACCTGTTGTCAAGCCACTCCCACCTCCAGTTCCTGAATACAAGCCCAAGCCTAAACCACCCGTTTATGTTCCACCAGTAGTTAAGCCGAACCCTCCTCCAGTCCCTGAATACAAGCCAAAGCCGAAGCCACCCGTTTACATTCCACCTGTAGTTAAGCCAATCCCACCTCCAGTTCCTGAATACAAGCCGAAGCCTAAGCCACCTGTTTATGTTCCACCGGTAGTTAAGCCAAACCCTCCTCCAGTCCCTGAATACAAGCCAAAGCCTAAGCCACCAGTTTATATTCCACCTGTGATTAAGCCGGTTCCACATCCTGCTCCTGAATACAAGCCTAAGCCCAAGCCACCAGTTTATATCCCACCCGTGATTAAGCCGGCTCCACACCCAGTTCCTGAATATAAGCCAAAACCCAAGCCCTCTGTTCCTATATACAAGCCGAAGCCGCCGGTTTATATTCCACCCATAAAGCCGCTCCCACCATCAATTCCTGTATACAAGCCAAAGCCGAAGCCACCCGTTTACATTCCACCTGTGGTGTCACTTCCACCTCCCGTTCCAACGTACCAACCAAAACCTAAACCACCCGTATACATTCCACCCATAAAGCCGCTTCCACCACAAGTCCCAATATACAAGCCTAAGCCTAAGCCACCCGTTTATATTCCACCTATAGTAAAGCCACTCCCACCCGTGGTTCCCATCTACAAGCCAAAACCAAAGCCGCCGATTTACATCCCTCCAATAATAGTAAAGCCATTGCCTCCTCCCGTTCCCATCTACAAACCAATACCAAAGCCACCTGTTTACATCCCTCCGATAATAGTAAAGCCACTGCCTCCTCCCATTCCCATCTACAAACCAATACCAAAGCCACCTGTTTACATTCCTCCCATAGAAAAGCCATTGCCTCCTTCAATCCCCACCTACTACAAACCAATCCCAAAAACACCCATCTACATTCCTCCAATAGTAGAAAAGCCATTGCCACCAATACTAAAGAAACCATTCCCAACATTGCCACCAATACTAAAGAAACCGTTCCCAACATTGCCACCCATACTAAAGAAACCGTTCCCAACTCTTCCCCCTTTTTACAAACACCCATTCTTCCCCCCTCTGCCCCCTCACGTTGCCCAACCTTAATAAAACCGTGAATCTTGAGCTCCATTCAACTAAGTGTGCTGCTATAGATTCATCTATATACTATATGTTTATTCGTGCAATGACTTAGCTGGCTCAGCCTCTCGTCGTGGGAACTTTTGTTTGTGCAATAAAAAGTGCAGAAGTGAATGGATCAAAGGCCACTGACAAATTTGAAGAAAGAAAATGAAGGATGAGGCTAGCCAGCGGGTGCATATTAGTTAAAATTGCTTTTGTTTATATGTCTGATGAGATTTAGCCGCCTTGGTTTGATGGCCTTGTTTAAGTTTGTAAAGTGAAAGTGAATTACTGCTGTTTCAGTTTCAGTGTTGTATAAGTTCATTGTTACAAATAATTTCATACTGTATTTTGCTTCTTTGATGATGAGTTCCCAAACTTAAACAATTGGAATATGCAGAAGTGACTTGTTTCATGCCTTCATGCTTTACAATGCATATGCACTCGCGCGCACTGGTTTTGATAGAATGCCTGTTTTGTTTCATAAATGGGTCTGGTTTAATGAGCCTTAGAGTTGGAGTTTAACCGAGGGTCATTAGTTGGCTTACCTACACTCATGAACTAGCTAGTTCGCACTTAAGGGACAGAATTCATTGAAGGACATTTGGCAGGCTATACATTTCTAGTTTGTTAATTTTATTCGACACCTTCTTCTCTTCTTGTCACACAATATAGAAAAATTAATGATTTCTATCCCCGACCTCTAGTACCCCCATGCCCCTATTAAAAACATCAAGAGGGAGAAGACATGGAGTTAATCATAGGAACCATTAATGTTTCGAACGAAACATTGTAACCCTAGTTGTCATATTATGACATTATTAGATATTGACAAAAGAACCGTGGTGAATTTTATTAAAGTTAAGATAAAAATTTGAAATGTGGTATGGGTAACTAAATTGGGGCATAAACACTTGGAATGCGCGTACCCTCATCTCATTCTCACACCGATACAGAATTGTTTTTGGGCATCTTTTAAAAGATCCCATACTAATGAGTTGGATTGAATCAGTATACTATATTTTGGTTCTGTTTTTCTTTCTTCTCTAGTGTGGTTACTAGTTTGTACCTAGCAAACTTCTAAACTAGAACCGCACCAGCGCACCTCTAGTGACCTTCCACAGCAACGACGATTGAGAACTGTGAGATAATTTGTGTACAACTATCGATGAGTAGTTCTTATTGGGCTCCTTAACTATTTAGCATTGACACCTAAAAAAGGTTTAATTTCATCAATCTTCTTCACGTTGCATAAAGTTTCAATGAGAAAAATAAAGCATGACTTAATCTCTCTTACAAGAGGTTGTAAGGTTTGCATTGCTCGTAGGTTGCGAAGGCTTCCAAGAAACACTTCTTTGCTTTGGTACCTGAAATGTTGTCATCTAAAATTCACAAATTATAAATATATGAATCTTTTGACTTTTGTTTGGGATTTTGACATTTCTCTACGAACAATATTGTGAAAATATGGTGGGGTTCTCGTGACATTAGCTTTTCAATGTCATGATATGACATTAAGCAAACTATAGCATATACGATACTCGACTCGTAAAATTGGTGATTCCTGCGGCAAACCCCTCCATCAGTTCCAATCTCAAATTTAGTCAACTTAGAAATAAAAAAAATTTGATCCCACCATTGTGAAAGATTATGTAAAAAAAATCTTTGCTTAAAGAAAATGAAAATGAAAAGAATTGAAATGAAAAGAAAATGATTTTTCCTTATTTTTTTTACCAAAATGGAAGAAATTTGATTTTCTATCTTATTAGTAGTATATTTTTTCTTTGTCGTTTTCTTTTCTTTCTATTTTTCTTTTCTCTCTAGCCAAACTAATAGGAAATAGTTATTATTATTATTGTTATTATTATTATTATTATTATTATTATTATTATTATTATACTTCACTTTTCCTTATTTATTGTTGCCATAGTTCCTTATTTAACTTTGGTTATTAGGATTTTCTATATATATATCAATATAACTCACATTATGTAATAAGACCAAAAGATCAAGTATTATCAAATTACTTACTCCGTTCTAGAGTATTTATCTAATTTTGACTTTTTTCATTAAATCATCTTTAACCTTTAATCTATATTTAAAGAAAATATATACTTGGTCCGTCCCTGAGTGTTTGTTCACTTTTGACTTTTGGAACTGTTCATCTAAGCACTTTGACTCATCAAATTCTCTCATTGTGTAAGCCTAAAAATAGTCATGTGTGATCTTGTTTGATTCGTCTTAACATATAGATTATTAATACTCCGTATATAATTTTTATAATTTTTTAATATACAAATTACAAGATAAAATGGATTAAAGAAGTGCATTGGATGGTGTGCAAAAATGAAAGTGGACAAACACTCAGGGACGGAGAGAGTATTATATATTGATTAGATAAAATAATATTTCAAAAATATTTCATATAATAAATCTAATAAAATTTTTTATACCAATATCTAATACGGAGTATTATTTTTATTTTATTAAATTTGATATCAAAGTTTACCAATTTTAACAAAAAAATCAAAAATAGATAAAGGGTATACGATAAAGAAAAAAAATATTTTTCCGTTTCTCTTTTCGTTCTAAATTTTTAAGGGGAAACCGACCACCGAGTAAATTCGAAGAAAAAGCGCGCGTACCAGTTGATGTGTTAGGGTTTTAGCTTCCAACCTCCTTGTTCAGTCGCTCATACTGAGCTCTCCGAACGGAGTCAGGCAGGAAACACTTGTTTTCCTGATGGCGGAGACTCCGAACACGAAGGACCAAGCTTGCGCCGTCGAGGCTTCACTGTGGTGGGACTCATTTTCCACCTTGCTCACCGAACTCGAAAACGTCCCTTTCTCCTCAGACATCACCTCTTCTCTGGTATATCGTTTTTCACTGTCGCCAATAACTAAATGAAGGGTTTGGGGGGGGGGGGGGGGGGGGGG